CGGGTTGGAAAAACTTGAGGGGTCTCAATCCTGTGTACAGACTACGAACCTTTGCTGTCGGCGTCTCAGTTGTATTGATCCGGCCGTACTTCATATTTCCACCCGTAAGGTTTGGATGCAAACTTCGTTGTTTTTTGTCCGGTATCATGTTGGAAAAACTATGAGGGGTCTCAATCCTGTGTACAGACTACGAACCTTTGCTGTCGGCGTCTCAGTTGTATTGATCCGGCAGTACTTCATATTTCCACCCGTAAGGTTTGGATGCAAACTTCGTTGTTTTTTCTCCGGTATCGGGTTGGAAAAACTATGAGGGGTCTCAATCCTGTGTATAGACTACGAACCTTTGCTGTCGGCGTCTCAGTTGTATTGATCCGGCAGTACTTCATATTTCCACCCGTAAGGTTTGGATGCAAACTTCGTTGTTTTTTCTCCGGTATCATGTTGGAAAAACTATGAGGGGTCTCAATCCTGTGTACAGACTACGAACCTTTGCTGTCGGCGTCTCAGTTGTATTGATCCGGCAGTACTTCATATTTCCACCCGTAAGGTTTGGATGCAAATTTCGTTGTTTTTTCTCCGGTATCATGTTGGAAAAACTATGAGGGGTCTCAATCCTGTGTACAGACTACGAACCTTTGCTGTCGGCGTCTCAGTTGTATTGATCCGGCAGTACTTCATATTTCCACCCGTAAGGTTTGGATGCAAACTTCGTTGTTTTTTCTCCGGTATCGGGTTGGAAAACTATGAGGGGTCTCAATCCTGTGTACAGACTACGAACCTTTGCTGTCGGCGTCTCAGTTGTATTGATCCGGCCGTACTTCATATTTCCACCCGTAAGGTTTGGATGCAAACTTCGTTGTTTTTTCTCCGGTATCGGGTTGGAAAAACTATGAGGGGTCTCAATCCTGTGTACAGACTACGAACCTTTGCTGTCGGCGTCTCAGTTGTATTGATCCGGCCGTACTTCATATTTCCACCCGTAAGGTTTGGATGCAAATTTCGTTGTTTTTTCTCCGGTATCGGGTTGGAAAAACTATGAGGGGTCTCAATCCTGTGTACAGACTACGAACCTTTGCTGTCGGCGTCTCAGTTGTATTGATCCGGCAGTACTTCATATTTCCACCCGTAAGGTTTGGATGCAAACTTCGTTGTTTTTTCTCCGGTATCGGGTTGGAAAAACTATGAGGGGTCTCAATCCTGTGTACAGACTACGAACCTTTGCTGTCGGCGTCTCAGTTGTATTGATCCGGCAGTACTTCATATTTCCACCCGTAAGGTTTGGATGCAAACTTCGTTGTTTTTTGTCCGGTATCGGGTTGGAAAAACTATGAGGGGTCTCAATCCTGTGTACAGACTACGAACCTTTGCTGTCGGCGTCTCAGTTGTATTGATCCGGCAGTACTTCATATTTCCACCCGTAAGGTTTGGATGCAAACTTCGTTGTTTTTTCTCCGGTATCGGGTTGGAAAACTATGAGGGGTCTCAATCCTGTGTACAGACTACGAACCTTTGCTGTCGGCGTCTCAGTTGTATTGATCCGGCCGTACTTCATATTTCCACCCGTAAGGTTTGGATGCAAACTTCGTTGTTTTTTCTCCGGTATCGGGTTGGAAAAACTATGAGGGGTCTCAATCTTGTGTACAGACTACGAACCTTTGCTGTCGGCGTCTCAGTTGTATTGATCCGGCAGTACTTCATATTTCCACCCGTAAGGTTTGGATGCAAACTTCGTTGTTTTTTCTCCGGTATCGGGTTGGAAAAACTATGAGGGGTCTCAATCTTGTGTACAGACTACGAACCTTTGCTGTCGGCGTCTCAGTTGTGGTTTCTAAAAAAAATCGTTATTGAATCTCTAGTGTTTTAGCAAAAGGCTCAACAGTGGTACTTTTGAGCTCAATTATCTTAGCTTCTGTAGGTAATTTAAAAGCTTTTGAACTAAAAAATTCTGGAGATTTTATATTCGAAAGTATAAAAACTTCAGGTATCTTACATTGAAATTGAGATAATTGCGCTCAAAGTGCACGCCCTCTGTTAAACTCACTTCTTCTCCTTCCGGAATTCTCCTCGGACAGTTGAATGGTACCCACTTCCGCTCTCTTCCGATCGTCTGATTCTCGCTTCTTGACTATTTGATAGCCATCCATCTAAAAATTATCTGAATTTCAATTAAGAAAACGTCGTAAATTGAACTTACGGTATCCTGAATTATCCTCTTCAACTTTTATCAAATTATTTTTTTTCTCCAGGTATAGGTCGGTGTCAAAACTTCAATTTTTGCAGAAACACGTCAAAATTTTCGGTTTTTCGTTTGCCGATTCGTTCGAGTGATTTCCTCGACCAGTTTCAAGCTAAAAAATAAATATAAAAAACTTGTTTGAAACGGCCCTTTGAACATAACACGTGGAAGATCATTTCTCTAAGCGCATCGCATTCATTCACTTGCAATGAGCTCATTGTTCTCCATTTCTTCACTTGGACTTACTATGGTTTTGGGTTCAAGCTGCGTAGTTGCTTTTCCGGTATCGACTAGAAAGCACTTTGAGGGGTCTCAATCTTGCGTCGAAATATTGGTTGTCGCCGTCTTATTGTCAGTTGTAGAATCTGAAAAAATCGTTCTTGAATCTTCATAGGGTTTCAGGCAAAGGCTCAACAGTGGTCCTTTTGAGCTCAATTATATTAATTTATGTAGGTAATTTCAAAAACTGTTGAACTAAAAAATGTTGGCGATTTTTTGCAAAACATTTTGAAACTTGAGAAATTTCAGCCATCTTACATTGAAATTGAGATAATTGTGCTCAAAGTGCACGAACTCTGTTCAACTCACTTTCACCCCTTCCAAGAATTTTCTCGAAGAGTTGAGTTTCCACGGCCGGTCACTTCCGATCTTGTCAATCTCGCTTCTTGTCTTCTTGGTAGTCAGCTTTCTGACCATCTAGAAATTATTTAAGTTCCAAATCAGAGAACGTCTGAAATTAAACTAACGGTGTCCTGAACAGTCCAAATTTTTCAAACTGTGTGTGGCTTTGGATACATACTGCAAAGTTTTTTCTCCAGTGCCGGCGTCTCATTTATCTGGCTCGCAGAACACGGTCTACATTCTGAAAACGTTGACAATATTATACTAAACATTCTTTAGTTGACAAATTTTTATAACTTTCACAGAAATCGAGACAATTGAGCTCAACGCGTAATAATTTTTTGTAGCGTAATACGAAACAAAATAAAGTCGGATTTAAAAAAAATGAAATGAATAACACTGAGTACACAACCCAAAAAAATTGGTGGAATGAAAAACACTGCGCGAAGACAAGAGAAATAGACGAAGAAACACGTAAACACGCGGCGGGTAAGAGTAGGTCAAAACCGTTCGCTACAACGTAGTTGAATTTTTTTTATTCATCGGTCCCCCACGATATACACACAAGAGGAGCACTACATGCAAGTGGGGGAAACTATTCATCAACGCGCACTCAATAGCTCTTTTCTGAAAGAAGGGTTTGCAAATTCTCTTTTCAAAAAGCTCTTTTTGAAGCTGAAAACAATCGAATCATATTTTGGTTTTATAACGCTGTCAGGTTTTGCTTCAAAATGTCAAAATTTTCTTCTCAAAAAAGTTGATTTTTTTATATTTTGAGTCCTGAAATTCTAAGTGCTTTTATCGGAAGAGTAGCGATTTTGAATAAATAGTTTATTTCAACAGTTACAAGTTTACAACAGGTCAGTTAATCGACAGTTTCAATTTACAAAATGTCATGATCGCTTGAAGATGGACGAAACTCAGTTTTTATTTTTTTTTTGAGTTCGCTTGTATCTTTTCTTGGACGTCCGATACGTTTTCAAAGTACTGCAGGTTTTGCGGATTTTCTGAAAAAGGAAATTACTGTAATCCTTGAGAAATTTAGATTTTTTTTTCAACTTTTCTCTTTGTGTTTTTTGGAATTGCTGATTTTTTGAAAACATTTTTTTCGGGAGTTCCCTAAGTTCTTTGAATTCCAGAAAAACTAAAAACTTAAAAAAATGGAATTTAGAAGTTCAGAGAAAAGTCTTTAGTTTGAAAAAATTGAAAAACCCGATAACTTGAATTCCCGCTTCTTTCAATGTTTCCAGAATTTCAGGCAAAATTTCAGAACTTCTTTCCAACGGCATCTCCTCCCTCATCATCATTTCTCGTCTCTCTACATTCTTGGAGCGATAGTATTCGTTCACAAGGTCCTGCTGGCTGACGGCACCTTTGAACTGAAAATTGTGATTTTTTAAAAAACACAAAAAATCGTTTTAAAAAATCTTACCATATCCCTCATTGGAAACTTTCTGTGTCCTTTTCTTTTGTCCATTGCTTTTGCGATGTGTTCTTTTTCAAATGCCAGATTTCTCCAGAATATGTCCTTTACATAATCTGGAACAAAAACTGGACAGACAAAGTCCGCAGGGATCTGAAAGTTTGAATTTTCAAAATTTTCGAGATTTTTAGGACTTCAGCTCATTGATTTAGATTTAAAGATATTTTTGAGTTCGAAGAATTGCAAAAGATAGATTTTTGAGATTCTCAAATGATTGGATTTCTCGGGTTACTCCGATTTTGCGACTCAAAAATTTCCAGAAACATCGGAATACCGATATCTTTGAAACACCAAATTTCTAAATTTCAGTTAGAACATCAAAACTTCAGAACTCCAGAATTTTCAAAACTTACCACAGTAATCTGGATCTTTTCCTCCACTTCCGGGACGTTTGTTTCAGCAGCCTCGATGTAATCCTGGCACTCTGGGATGTCGTCGTCCTTGACCATGTTTCTGAAAAGAACACTTTATTCTAATTCTTTTTTCGAATGTTGAGTAAATTTTTAATCCCAAGGTAAGGGTATCAACCACAAAAAATGCTCAGATTCTGAAATTCCAAAAAAGAGTAACCCTTTTTTGTGTGTATCTTCGGCAAAGTTTTGGTGATCGGACATCTTTCTTTTCTGGAATACGAAAAATTAGTTTTTAATGGAGAAAATTAGAATAATAACGGAAGATTATTTCAATTTCTGAAAAAGATTTTGAAGCTTCGTTCAGCTAGTAAAATGTATAAAATTCAACTTATCACATTTTCGCAAACTCACGAACACAAAAAAACCTAGCAACAAAGTATTAACACAAGCACATGTATGCTACGAATTCTAAAAAACAACGAAAACTCTCCATAGAAAATACAACAGAGAATTTTTCCGCCTGTCGATGCGTAGAGCGCGGTTGCGCTCACGTGCGTACAGGCCTGAGGCAGTTCAAAACAAGAATTGTGAGAAAAGGGAAAATAAAGACAACTAATAAGAAGAGGACAGATGAATTTCTTATATGCACCTGTCCTGTGGTGGGGCGGGACACTATTGATATATTGCTATTGATTTATCTTGAATTTGTTAAGACGAGAAAGAAGATAAACAGTTCTATTTGAAATTTCAAGAAGAAGAAAAAAGGAGAATCACAAATCGAAGAAGATCGAGAGCAAAATGACGATTTTAACAAGGGAACCTTTAAAGTGAATGGTAGGAGTCGCAGAAACCACTTGCATAGATCGAAAGAGCATGGTTGAAAACCTCTGAATGCGTTTTCAAAGTCTGCTTACGAGACCTTCGAAGTGCTGAAATTTCAGCTTCAGCACCAAAAAATCAAAAATTGCCCAGATTTTCGGTGGGCCCAAGACAATTCTCTTTTCCGAGTTTGAAAATTTCGTTAGAAAATGTCTGAAATATGAAATTCCACATAATTTCAAGCCTAATAAAATATATTTCATGTTCTAAAACCTCCTAGAAGTGGAGAAAATCAAATTTAGAAATTGCGATTTTACACTGAAAATGGGATTTTTGGTAATTTCAGCAATTCAAAAGTCTCGTAAGCAGACTTTGAAAACGGATTTAAGGGTTTTCGACAATGCTCTTTCGATCTTTGCGAGTGGTTTCTGCTGACTCCTACCTTCATTTAAAAGGGTTCTATGTAAAACTCGAAGGTTCTATGATTCTGATCTTCCAAGATTTTCAGATTTTCAGATTTAGAAAATCTGAGATTCTGAAATTGTTGCATACGCCTGTCCCTCTATTTTTCTAATCTATTTTTTTTCGTACTCTCTTATCTGGTACCGTTACAACATCTAGACGATAGACAAGGTTACACTTTTTGTGTGCGTTGCCTGGCAAAGTGCCAAGTAGTAAATGACTGCGAAAAAATGGATTATGAAAAAATTGAGGTTATGGATACTTCTTTCAAAAAAGTTTCGGATATAGGCCTGTGCGGCAACAAAAGAATTCCGGCAATTCGGCAACTCGGCAAATTGCCGAACGCTTTTTGGCAATGTTCGGCAACTCGGCAAATGCCGAAAAAAAAATTTCGGCAATTTTCGGCAACAAAAGTGTTGTGTCTTTTCTAGTGAAATCGTTGCGTAACTCGCCTGCCTGAAAATGGTCCAATCAGGCTCAAAACTACAGAAAATAGTGTGTCATGAGTTCCCTATCAAAGTAATTATAAAAAATCTCAACTCAGGACAACTGTTCTCCTATGATCACAATTTGGAAGCCCATTTTTAGAACCTATTGTTGGAATTATAAAAGTGGGAACGA